ATATCAATGATATGTGTTTGCGATCACTTTTAGTTGAGTAAACACATAACACACTGAATACGAAAGTGTTAATACATCGAGATTATCTAGAATGCGATACAGAAGTTTAACAAGTAATTTTAAAAGAAACGAAAAAACTATTATGTCAGACACTAGTGTTGTTTGCTTTCGAACACTGTACTTCGTATAAATGAATATATGTTGAAATTTATTTTTCTTTATATCGATGTATTTATTGGCAACGTGTCAGCAGCTTTCACTTGGTTGTGCAATTTTTCTCTTATATACACACACACAACTGAAACAAGTACAACACCACAAATGCAACGACCAAGTAATTTCGTTAAAATAACTGTATCTGTACTTTTTTTGTCCATCCCACATTCCCTACTACAGTTTCAACTATGTACTGTTGATTGCTCTTGAAAGTTTTCATTCTTCTTGAATATATTCGAGACGTCCCTCAGCTTTTCATTCCCTCTGTCGCGTTTTTGCTTTTAGAATTAAAGAAAAGAGAAAAAGATAGGTAAATATTTTGACGAACAAGAGAACATGTATAAGAGGCAAAAAATTAAACGCATTGGTAAAATTGCCAATACTATAATTTTACTATTACTCAGCAAGATGGATACCATCCATACATGTGAAGACAAGTCGGAACTAAAATATTACTTTTAATATACAAGGATTCGCGGGTATGAAATCAATCATCAATAGTTGTTGATAAGGTTTTTCTTTCTTTGAATGATTTTTACATGATAGAGAATTCAATTTTTTGACACAATCATTTTCTCAATAAATTAAAAAAAATTGTAATAAAATCAATTTATACATTTATATAACGGCATAATGCTACAATGGTGTAATCAGTGTAGCTTTGATACCACTATATCACTTGTAACGCTAGTATCTCTGATATTTTTTATGAGTTTCTTTTTTTTTTGAGTTTGCAGTAACATGAAGTCTACCATGAACTCATCATCAATGTTCCTCACATGCCAGAAACAGTAAAAAACGACCTAACGTTTGCCATTGCTCACTGATAGTGATAGAATTTCACGAAAAATAATTCACATAATCTTCAGTTCATTACTTTTATTATCTCTTGAAAGTTATACGTAATCTATGCAATCACAAATCAGTGAACAGAGTTCCAGTTGTGAATCCAGGATAGAAGGGGTCCTTTTGGAATTACTTTAGAAAATAAAGATAAATGAATCATTAATCTTTAAAATCCTCTTCTCCTGATAAAATCTTCAGCCCTGTACTATGACGTGTCAGCTAGATATCCACCAAACAAAGGTCAAAAAATAGCTCATTTCGTCTTTAAAAATTGTCTGTGATCTTCATTTTGTATATTCAACTTTTTTGTTTGAAAGAGCAAATCAGAATGCAGTGACTATGAGAGCTCTCTTTTATAAACACTTATCCTACAAGCGAAAAAAAAAGCTGGCAAGTTCAATTATTCAAAAACCTCTCAAAATATGGCGCTCTATTCATAAAAGTACTTTTCAATATAAAAATAATTAAGCTTCATTCAAAAAAACAGACTTTCAAAAGCACTGCAGTTTTACACACTCTTTCGAACAAATAGAAAAGTTACTAAGTAGAATGAAGCTTCTACGAGAATTCTGGGAGATACAATCGAAAATCTATAAAACGAAAAAAACAAAAACAGGTCTTCAGTTTTTCTCCAAAACAACTTACTTTTCGAATAGAAAACGATGGAACTCTTCAACAATTTTTGGCAAAAACGAGATGTAGAGTAAAAATTTTTGTCGTTTATGAGAGATCAAATCACGAGCGTTCTTTCTCTTCATTTATGTTAATTTCGATCATTCTGATGAAACTGACTTTTTTTGAAGGGAGGAGGAGAGGATCTTCAAAAATTAAAAATAAAATAAAGAACTAAAGGATACTTGAACAAGAGATCATGTCACTGAAGAAGTCTTAGAATCGCATAATTTGTATTTGCAGAGACTTTTATCATTAAGAAAAGTATATTTTGATTGAAAACACGCTGCATAAAACAAGATTCAAAAACTACACAAATGAAAAGTTTGTTTCTATTTTCTTCCTGTATTTTTTAACCCATGTCTTCTTACGCTATTCTTTATGTCACCCAAGTGTCACTATGCAATGAGACGTCTTTTTGAGATGCTATTTTAAAACCATACAATGTCTCAAGTGAGTAGCGCTTACTCTCTTCGTCTCTGAATAGGTATTCCTCGTGGTTGTAAGGTGGGCTCTAACGTATCTACAACTCCGTCAGCTATAGTGTATATTTCTTTGACTGAAGAGATGATCATACGAAATAAAATGAATTTATATCCTTGCTTGTATGTTTGCTGACCAGTGTGAAGTCACATGTAAATATGTCTTCGTTAATTTAGAGCAGCTATTTACATTGAAGTTTTTTCATGTTGGGAATTCAACCAATCAAATACTTTCGATACATAGCCCTCGACTAATCAGATTGATCGAGGTTGCGCACTCGATGCTTGAAACCTGGATGTTGGAATATGCTGTGAAAGTTGATGCCGTATACGTGAGAATTGTGCGTGGTCGCATGACGATTTTCATGCATTCAGCAACGAGTGTGACCATGAATTAAATGCAAGTATGAGGTCGGATGTGAGGTATAAGATGTTATGTCAAAGAAAAACCCATGCTCACATCCACACCCTCCAAACAGTCGACAGATTTTAGAAGATTTTAGAATCAAAAGCTAAGTTTTTCGCCAATTTTATGTTCAATCGCAAGACATTATAGCATTGCTTCAGAGATGTCATCCAGAAATCGGCGTTTCCTATTGCAGATTATGTTCAATGTCAGCAGCGGCGTTTTCTTTCACCAACTGTACTTGAATATCTACAATTTTGCTTAAAAAAAATGAAAATCGTCTATCGTGAGCTAAAGGAACAGAATTATAATAGTGGGAAAAATCTTTCATGCAAATTTTTCTTTCTATTGTAATTCCATAGAAAAAAGTATCTTTCGGCACGAAGCTTTTACCAATGCTACAGCCATTGTCTATAGTATATCTGCATAAAAATTTAACACAAAAAGTTGAATCTTATATGACCTGAAGCTATAGCAGTCGGAGGTATTTTTTATTTTCATAGGAAGTTTACCGCATGGTTTTCAATTAAAATTAGTTTCTCGGAAAATGTTTCGAAAAAAAAAGAAGCCATACAAACGAATAAAAGAAAACCCAAGTTGTATTTTGTCCATGTAAACTTTTCAAAGAAAAACTTTCTATGAAACAAATTGTCTATCTTATGGTATACGTGACGTGATACACATCTCAACTATTGATCTGCGTATTCATTTGAACAAATATTTTTTGAGTTCTCGCATGAGACCATTGAAACAAATTTTCTGAAGATGATTTTCGAAGAATACCGCTATTTTGACAGTGTTGTCCCAATGATCCAATATCATAGTACAAAAAAACATTTCTTCATATAAATATAGAGATAAAGAATTGACATGTGCATCGTGTCATATCGACTGTCGGATAGGCAAATTGTTTCGTAGGAAGTTTTTCTTTAAAAAGGTTCAATGGCCAAAATGTAACTTGCGTTCTTCTTTTACTCATCCATAGGGATAATTTTTTTTCGAATCATTTTCAAAGAAAAATAATTTCATTTCCAAATCATATGAGAATTTCCGAACATAAAAAAAGGGAATACCGTGAATTGTTATAAATTCAGTGCAGATTAGATTCAACTTTTTCTGTTAAACTTTCGCGTGGACATACTATAGTCAAAAACTGTATTATTGGTAAATACTGTGTATCCAATGACATGTTCTTCATGGAGTTACATTTGAAACAGAATCCTACAAAGAAACTTGTCTACCACTGTATATATATGTGTGGATTCTAAAGATTTTGTTAGTCAATGAACAATGAGTAGAAAAAATGAATTTTTCGTTGTGAAAATAAAATCATGTATTTAATGCCTATCTAAAAGAAATCTTTCTCTAATTACTGGTGCATCATAATTGTAAGAATGACGTTACCAATGTAGACTATAGTTCGTAAAAATGTAGATAGATTAAAGTTGAACTTATAATCACGAAGAATTCTTATTTCGAACCATAGGAAGAGTAAGAGACATTGTATGGTTTTGAAATAACGTCTCAAAAAGATGTCCTCTTAGATAGTGAGACTTAGATAGCATCGACAATATCATAAGAAGACTTGCTTACTTCTAAATACACGAACAAAAAACAGAAACAAAGTTTCATTTCTCTATTGAATCTTGTGTTACGTAGTGTGTTTTCAACCAACATACATTTTTTTAGTGATAAAAACTCGTTGGAATACAAATTACATGATTCTAAATCCTTCCAGTAACATGATCTCTTTTTAAAGTAGCTATGTACCTCATCGTAAAAATGAAGATCGCTCACGGCCTTTCGATTAGTTATGTTTATGAGTTTTATTTTGGTAATCAGTGGTTACTTTTATTTTTTCTGAATATTTATTATATTATTATATTCATGTATATATACTGCAGATATTATCTTGAAATACCGTTGATAGGTTCGATCATTGAAATAAAGATCACCGACATGTAAATCGCTGAACTTCTGCAATTAAACTTTCAGCGAAGAGCATGCTGATCGAAATTCAATACTTGCCACAAAGATACGAGATACGTCTTTCTGGTTTTCTGTATTCGGTGACTCATGATGCCTATAGAATTTCTCTGATGACTAGAGATTGTTGGATCCGAAGTTTTCGAACGCGAAACCAATCCAACGAGCTCTAGTGACGGCTATCGCCTTGCCATCCCATCCTTCAATCTATCATAGTTGTTTTGTTGCATGCTAGAAAATTAGATCATTTTTCTATTAAAAAATCCCACGCGAATAACATCAACTACACTGAAGTAAGTTAAGTTTATTTTCTTTATTATTTAATAGAAATTAGACAAGGCGAGATCAATAAACATATTGTTTATTTTTTTTTTATAGTTATCTTCAGGATATTAATCATCATCATTTGTTTCATCGTCTATAGGACAATTTAGATCATTGTTCACTTGTTCAACTTGTAAATAACGTTCACCTTGTATATCTACCCAATATTTATTGAAGTTTAAGTCGCGTTTAGACTTTGAAATTCCATTTTCAAGATCAAGTGCAATACGTGCTCGTTCTAAATGCCTTTGTTGTACAAATATAAAAGTAAATCAATAAAAAGAAAACAATACTAGAAATTAAAAAGAAAAACAAACCATAATTTTTTAGCACTTTTCTTCACATCTGCATATGTATCACCCATCATAGCAATGAGTAAATTTAACAAAAGAATTGTAATAACCACAACATACAAGACAAGTAATGCAACACTTGTCAATGGATATTTTCCTCCAA